GTAAAGTGATTTTTCTCTTAGGAATAAGGTTTTGAAAAAGAGAGAGAGGGAGAGAAAATAAGAATTTTGACGCAAAACACAAAAGGTACACCCCAGTAGAAAAGGACATGAAATAATATACACTGTACATATACCTCAAAGGATGAAAATAAGGGATGCCTTTGGATGGTGCCTTATTTTGTTAAAAAAATAGCGGACAAACCAGGCTCATACATATTGTGCACTGAGGGAGGAGTACGCCAAAAATATGCGTTAACACGTCAAAATTTGCGTTTATTATATGAAAAATACACATAAAATAAATAAATTGTTTTTGTGTCTTCATTAATATGCATATAAACTGCCTATCGGAAAACATTGTAAAATATAAAGATAAAATGTCATATAAATAGAATAGAGCAAACGTTTATTATATCTTTAAAACTATCTAAATATTTAAAACTAGTATGTCTCTATATCTATTTATTCATGTTATTTCTTGGTGTAAACTATATAGGACATGCGTTACTAAAATGTCAGGAACGCACGTCCCATTAGGACGTGCATTACTACACGTAGGACTTACATTACTTGGGAGCCTTTGTCATACGGACATTGAATCCTAGTAAAGTATGTCCTAGGACTTCCATTCCTAGCAATGCATGCCCTAGTCCCGGGGGACTTGCGTTACTAGGACGTGCACTCCTGCCCCACCGGATTGGTCAACTCTGGTCAACTCTGCCAATCTGCGTGATAAAATCTTGTTCAAAGATAAAGTTATGCACCATACCGATTGCTATCTCACCTCAAAAGAGCACACATTATCTTTGTCACTTAACTGTACTTAAATTATGTAAATAGGTGAAAAAAAATTATTTCAAACATAACCATATTCAAGGTCTTCTTAATTATCAATATAATGGTCATACAGCAAGTCAGACATATACTTCCTACCACAAACTGCTTCAAGGCTCTCAAATATAGCTTGCACTTAATACAAAAATTCTAGTATTAATAAATATATATGATAATGAAAATTCAAAATTTGGGACAAGATAAAGTAAATACATAAATATCTGATGAAGCTTAATGTCTTATCTAAATGAATTAAAGGACTTTCAGACTTTTCAGGCTGAAAAAAGTCCCATCATTAATCTTCCACTGTTTTCATATTGTTTTCTCCTATGCAAGTTGGCTAGGATCCACCTACCAGTAGCTGTCAGGTGTAACCTTATTATAGTGACTCATATTTACAGAAAGAATTGCACAGTGATTGAATAAGCATTATTTTCACCAGCATTGCAGCATTTTGTTTAACTGTTGTATATGTACCCATGCCCCATAATAAGATAATCACAGGTCCTTTAAAAAAGCTCAATCTCATTCAAACTCACAGCAGCATTTCCAGTTATACTTGGAGTTAGGGACAGTAATATCATTGACAACACAATAATGTCAATATGCTCAGTGTTAAGGATTGTTGAGTGCCCTGCAAGTTGACTGTTCATACTGTGTTGAGAGGCAAGAATGTTGATTTATTGTGTTAATTTAGGGATACTCTAGGTTCATTTAGGGATAGTTTTGGTTCCCAAACATCATGTTGCATTCAAACAATCTAAGTCATAGGGTTTCATAAGAAATAGTTTTGTGTCTGCCCATGGGGCAGCTAACCTAACATTTGTTATGTTTTAGAATAGCTTTGTATTTCATCAGATTAATAATAAAGTGATGAAGAGTCACCATTTGTTTTCTTTTTGTCAAGATGGGCTGTTTTATCATTTCATTTTAACTTTAATAT